CACAGATTTTGAATTTAAACGTCTATGTTGAATAAAAAACTACGAAAGAGTATAACGACATCAGCTCTTCTGTCCTGCAGCATGAGTAGAGAAGTTGCACGCACGCGGAATGGCGACCACCCTGTATTTTGAATACCCCATTAGACTCCCATATTTCCACAAATATCCGTTTTCAATGAAGATATGAGGTAATTTCACACGACTACGACAGATGACAGCTATTTCCACCTTAAAACCAATGGAATTGAATGTTGAGCGCTATTTGCCTCGGGAGCAGGGCATATCAACGCGTTGTGTAGAACGTTTTACGAAACACGACCGCTAAATCTCTCTTTACGTGAGGTTGCGGTCATTTAATCATTTCTCTCTATCACGTCTCCGTAATCGATATTTTTGCCGACTACGCTACGAAAATGGGGATACACATTGATCCGACACAATCGGCTGCTGATCCGATACGTACCTAATTATTTGGGCTTCGCATCATGAATAACTTTTGAAGACATAAATCGATCTGGATCTTCTCGACGGGCCACCGAGGTTTTCTTTTTCGGGGCCTGCGAACGGCGAGCCTGAAAATATCAAATTAACAGTTTGAACAGAGTAACTTATGTGGGTGTTTGTAATCTGACGCAGCAGTCCTGCGTCTCTAGCATGCTACGTTGGAGCTTGTGTTTTGTTATTCACGCGCAGAAACCGCAGTTTCGTATATGCGTCACTGTCCATGTCCCAATCGAGATAGCGATATCACTGGATTTTCTTATGCTCAAGGTTTATCCATTTTATGACCACCGAATTCCACAGAATCCCTTATAGACGGAAGCTTCCTCCAGCTTAACAGTAATGCGAGACCCGAGAAGACCATAATGATAGCTACCATTCGAGTTCCAGGCGAAAAAAACTACTCTACATCCAGGCGGATGAAGAGGGTGTATTGCTTATTAGTTATTATTTTGTCAACTTCCTTATTGACTTTGATAACTAACTAGAGTTACATATAGAATCGAATGATACTATTTTACTACAACATGTTCAATGATGGTGATTTGA